TGTTGCTGTGGGTATCGCGTTTTCACGTTCCGAGGGAGGTTAGCCGACTTGGAACTTTGCAGCATGGTCTGATGATGATGACGTGCGGCGCGATGTGCATATGCCTCTGGTTGACAACATCTGAACATTTTGCCATTCTCCAGATGGATCCCGACACCTGCCCCCGAGGACCAGTGCTTTGAAGCGATCAAGGCCGGCATCGATGCGTTGCCAGCAGGGACCAAGGCATTTTTGAACAGCGGTAGGATGCAGTCTGTGCCATCGGGAGCCGGCGTTCACTTTGGCTAGGCGAATTCTACGCGATGGATATGAAAACAGGGAATCTGGAGATGCTTTCAAGGTTCTACGCAAAGTACCCTGAATACGCCGACAAGACTTTCTTGTCGGGGAAGGGCGCCATTAGAAACAGAGCTCCCGACAATTCGTCTGTTAACTCAATGGCCTAGTAGTTTCCCATCCAGTCTAATTTTTCTCGCAGGGAGGAGAGCATTCGCGCAAGCATCGAGAATATCTAGAGGGCCCTCGGTTCGATCAAGAAACTGGACCTCTTTGAGCCCGCCCGCATCGATCGCAAGGTCTCCATCGAAGATACGATGAAGACCTTATCAGCCCTTGTTAAGGAGGGTAAGATCTCGCATGTTGGACTCTCCGAGTGCAATGCGAATACGCTCCGTAAAGCGCACGCTGTTCGTACACCGTTCTCGTTCCGTGAAATTATTTTCTAACTGAGGTTGAGCCAGGTGTATCCCGTCACGGCCGTTGAGATTGAAATCAGTCCCTTCTCGTATGAAGATTCAGAAGAAAACCAGAAGAAGGTGATCGCTACAGCTGCTGAGCTTGGTATCTCTGTCATTGCGTATTCGTAGGTATATCTATCATTCTCGAGAGGTCAGTGCCTTAATTTGTGACGTTTGGCAGTCCTCTTGGACGAGGAGTCCTCGCAGGAAAGGTGAAGAGCGCGGCAGATATGGAAGGTACGCAGCTAGTCATCCTTTTTTTTTCTGGATCCAACACACTCTCCCAGAGGGCGATATCTCCGCTTCCGCTACAGCCGCTTCAAAGACGAGAATCTGAAGCACAACCTCCCTACTGTCGACAAATTAGACGCGATAGCGAAGGCGAAAGCCATCACTGTCGCGCAGCTCTGCATCGCATGGGTCGCTGCACTGGGCCCCAACGTTATTCCCGTCCCTGGATCATCGTACGCTTTTCGCGGTCTCATATCTACAATCTTCTTGACCATATATATACTGCAGGAGATCGGATCGCACATTGGAGAACCTCCGGGCGGGCGATATTGTCCTTTCCGCTGACGAATTGAGGGAGATTAACGAGACCATCGCGAAGCACGGGGTGAAAGGGGATCGGGCCGGGGGTCTCTCTGACGAGGAGGCGCACCTCTGGGGTTAGGGATCAGACTGCCTTGAATTCTTGAGAAGCGGTGTAACGTGCTACTGTAAGATTTGACCCATATGTAATTCACAATCCACACCAAGACATTGCTGTATAAGGAAGGGGAGGATATTCCCTGCGCCCGACAATACCCTCGCCTCAGTCGCCTCCAAAGATATTATGCATGACCGTGACGCATGGAATAGCCCGTAATCTCCCTCACCGGAAACCTTAGTGCAACGGTGTAATGCGCACTTGTATCCCGGACGTACTTGACCTCGGGACATTTGCACCTGTCTTCACGTCCTCACGGGATTGAAACACATTTCGAACAAATTACGATTACATACAATACAGATCTAATAGTAAGTTAAGACAGAGGGACCGAGCACACCATCCTAAACCGCATCATACGCCGCCTGGATCTTATCTACGTAGCAATCTGCGAAGGTGAGCGGAGTGAGCACGAGGAATCGAGAGCAACAACGCAACGCAACGACGCACGAATGAGCCTAGAGCTGCCCGCAAACGGGCGCATCACCGCGAGCGCGCGCTCGAACACCGCCGCCAGCGGGCTCTCGCGGCGCGCCGGCATATGCATCTCCCGCAACGCGTCGACGGCGACGCGGGCCGCCAGGCCCCACACCGGCGCGAGGATCGGGTCGATGTAGTACACTGGTGCGTCCGCGAGGGCGAGGTCGGCGTGCGCGACGACCTCGAGGAGCGCCGTCGCCGCGGCGACGCACCGGCCCTTCGAGCGCGCGTGAGTCGGGGCGAGGGGTAAGTGGAGCGTGAGCGCGGCGGCGTGCGCGATGCTGCATCCTACGACGAGGGTGCGGTTGCGCGGGCTCTGCGCGGGGAGCCGCACGACGGAGACGGCGCGCCGGAAGTCGGATATGCGCGAGTCGAGCTCGTCGAAGGCGGGGGAGAATTTGCGCGCGTCTTCGCGGGACATTTCTTTTGGGCGATGGTGCTTAATTGATGGACGTGATATAGTCGGATATCTAGATCTGCGTACCTGGTTTCCAGCTGGCCGTGAGAGTGTTGGCCTGCTGCCACAGGATTGCCGCCTTGGCGAGGACAGTCTTTGGCGATACTCTGGAAGCAGGGACCTCTGTCCTCTCGGTGAATGTCGCTACAGTTGGAGTCGACGGCTCTGATCCCTTCCGTCGTGTCAATTAGAAGAAGCGCAAAGGAAACCAGATAGGCCCACCTCTGCATCATCGTCTTCGGGCCACGGTGTATCGATCACGTCGTTCCAATTGGGCTGCGTGCCAAGCGCGACGGCCCACGTCTTGTCGAGCGTCGCGGTCGCCCAGCACGCACCGACGCGCTCCGCCCACTCCGCGGTGCCGCTCCCCGGCGCCTCCCGGCGCACCTCATGCAGCCCACCGGCGACCGCGAGCGACACCGCCGCCGCCGTGTGGTACCCGCCCTCGAGGCTCTTCCCCGCGCCGAAGAAATAGCGCGCGAGGAGGAGCTCGGCCTGCAGCGCGTGCAGGGCGCGGGCGGGGTGCAGCCCTGCGAGCGAGGCGGGCAGCGCGGCGAGCGCGCGGGCGAGGACGGGCTTTTCGTGCGTCTTGAGCGCGGGCGACGGGGAGAGCGCGATGGCGGCGAGGTATACGGCGGCTAAGAGGGCGGGTGTAGGGCGCGCGTGGTGTCCGGGCGGCAGGGGTAAGAGCGCGGCGGCCTTGAATCGCGCGGCGTCGAGGAAGAAGCCCCAGTCGTCGGCGTAGGGGAGGAATGTGTCGAGACTGGGATGGATCGTGGATATTAGATCGTGGACACGGGGAGGCAATATGGCGAGTCTTACAGATTTTCGACCACGTGCATAGGGGGCTCGTCCGCGGTCCACCAGGAGTCTGAAGTCGACGCTGGAGATTTGATGAACACGTTCGGAGGCGCACTAAGCATGGGCCCCGGACTGGGTACGGGGCTCGGGGCGTCCAGGATCTGATAAAGTCCAGGCATCTGCGCAGGATTTATCTGCCGGTACGGATGATGAAGCTGGACGGACGAATGGGCCTCCTGCGGGTGCTCGAGCTGGTAGATGCGGTACTGGACGCGGGAAATGTCTTCTTCTAATATTTCTGCGCGTGAACGACCTTGCTTATCGGGATACTCGCAGTCATCTCGCCGGTATGTGCTGAGACATTGACCGCATACGGGCCGCCTGGAATAAAGAAGCGTTTAGCAGGTTTTAGTGTTAGGTACGTTGAAGACGCGGACCGTGCGTCGCATCTCTGGTTTCGGCATCAACTCGAATATGTGTAAACTATGGAGAGAAGCACTCGCCATCTTTCGTAACCGACAATTGTAACATGCCTGGTTGCGGCCCAGTGCCGAGTTGGAATCGGCGGCGGGGGTACGACGTCCTTCCGAGCCCGAGTCGACGGCGGGGGTCCGACGTCCCATAGTAGCGGGTGGTGATTCCGAGCCCATTCCGAATAATGCAGCGTCGCGAATGAAATTGCAATAATGTTGGTTGATATATGTATCCTCTTGGTCCCAGGGTGATCACCTACCCATGTTAGTTCCATTGCCAACAGACCGTAGACTGACGGGCACTGACCTGAGCTATTTGCGATCGCTGGCCGCCTGACCTCGATTCAGGTGGCCTGAACGGAGGAAAGGTGGCCATGGCTCTGAATTTATTACGAACGGAAAAGAGGCCGGCCCCATCGCGCGCTTGGTTGGTGTCAAAGAGCGAGGATGAAGTTGCAGTCCGAGGCGCATCAATGTCAGCAGCAATTATGTCACAACGGCCTGACGAGGATTTACGCGAGGGGCTGTGCCGGCCAAAGAACAGAATTGCCGGAAAAGTCATTGGGAAATAGTCAGGAAATATTCCCGGGCCTGCTGGCTGAACGGCTTACCTGCATGACATTCCACCGGTGTGTTCTTGTCCGACTCGCGGCTGACTAGGTGTGCAGGGCGCGCAGCACACACTGGGGAATTTGCGGCGCGTGCTGCCAGACGGGATGAGCTGAGGTGAGCAACGCTGATGCGTACTAGAACGGAGCCAAAAACTCACCGAACTCGAAAGCAGAGTATGTACACGTCCCGGGCCACTATACACACGATGCCCGGCAGGTATAGCACTGCGGAAAAAACTTCGAGTGAAGCGCGGTCCTGTCGAGTGCTGTGTGGTGTGTGGAAAGAGGCCCTGAGTACAAAACCGTTGGTCGGTGGCCCTCCTCTTCAATGTGGGGCACAACTAATCAGCGCTAGCGCAGCGCTGATGGAAGAAAGGAAAAGTACTTAGAGCATTGATTGGGGAGGCTGTGGAGGTCGTACCCAGTGAACGTATCGCCCCCAGTCATCCTCAGTTACAACGCTTGCTTTCTCTGGCCCCGCAGCGCGTCGTGTAGATCTAAAAGAGAAGTAAAAATTGGAATGAAATAAGAAAGAGAGAAAAAAAGAAATGCCTGATGGGGCGAGGCTATCGCCGACTGGTGAAGCGAACTCTCTCTACCGTCACTGTACCGAACGCGTTGTACTCTGGTGCACCCCGACGGCGCGTCTAAGGCCAGCACCTTGGAGGAACTCGTTCGGCGCCGAACGAGTTCCCCCAAGCTGCGAGGCCCAGGTCGCTGCAGCCCGAAATGTACCTCCTTAGCGAATCGAACCCGCGACCACCCAAATTCGCTTGGGCGCCGTTTGCAGGGGGCTCAACCGCTTGAGCTAAGGAGGCACGGAAGTATGTGAAGTAGGCATGTTTTTGTGCTGGATCCGGCGAGAGGATGACAGGAGAGTTGGTAGAAAAGGTGAGTATGATTCACCTCAATATTGGGCGGAAAAGCGCTTATTTTTCCAAGGAGTCACTGGTCGCAAGATTTTCCTATCCATCAGGCAATTTCCAAGCCGCCAGCACAATCAACGTTGTCTAAACACACGCACCTGTCCTCTGAGTGGGTGAATACCATGAAACCAGCTTGTATTCCGGGTACCCGACGTCAACCGGGCGCGAAGAAGCCAAAACGAACCCAAACGCCCATCGAATTACCGGTTTGGGGCTGATATCGCTGATCCGTCGCTCAGACGGGGATATCAAACGCGCGGCGCGGCGGCCGTAAGATGCGGCGCGTCGCATCACCACGCCGAGGTGACGTGACATAACGTGCGTATCGTCACAGGGCTTGAACCTCAACCACGACTTGACCACGACGATTGCCCCAGCTCAGAACTTGCGTGACCGCCCATAGCCGGAGAACACGGTCTCGGGATACTTTTGCCAGTTGCTCAGCGAGCTTACCATGCTTTCCGTTCGTTTTTTCAGGGCAGTGGCAGTTGAGTGGCATCATCATGATTATGCTCCCGGGCCCCGATTTCAATCGCGCCGCGCCGCCGCCTCGCAACCTCACCAGCCCCGACTCTCTGCAGCCCACTATCATATGTCTCAGCAGCTTTGAACTACGCCCGCCCCTCAATGGGCTCTCTTTCCATCGCTTCATCGCTGCAGTGTCGCTGAGTCAAATCCTGGATTCTCAACCCCCTTGAAGCCTTTGACGCTGAATCCCATCTTGACTCCGGCTCCAACTCAATCTAACTGCTGTGCTCACCAATCACCTCCTACTGCCCCCGCCGATTCGTTCCGATGCCGGCGCCGGCGACCTCCACCTTACTAGTAGTAACGCGGATAAACGGACTCCGACGTCGCGGAGTCCTTTTCCTTTCTGCCGGCCGTTCATCCTAAAGCCATTGTAATAATCTAAATCTGCCGGCCGTTCGTCTTATTCGTCCGCCGGGTGTCACTGCTTTCTACTCCCCATATCCTGCCGCTGCACAATACCTCGCTCTGTCTTTCCATCTTGGCATCCGAGTCCTCGCGTTGGTTTTCGAGTGGAGATACTGTTATGATTTCGAAACTCCGTTCCTTTTCAGATCCCGACGCCGACGCATCAACTCTGAATCCTACTCGACTATGTTGGGAGCGACGCTACACATCTGCATTCTGATTCCGATTTTCTTCATCGTCCGAGTCGCCATTATCTTGCTCATTTCGAAGCACGCATGCATGCACGCACGCCCACACGATTGATTTCCGGGACTCGTCCGGACTGTCCTTCGAACCTGGGCTTGGTCTCTGGACTCGCTGGCAGGGAATCGAACTTCGGATGAACCCACGCGATGACGATGCTTTCAATCCTGGCTTTCTCTTTATTTCTTTCGTCAATCAACGCTACGCTGCATCTGATGGACAGGCGGGCTCGCCCCTGTCGAAATTCGGCGCGCGGCCCTTCGGCTGGAAAACTCACTTGGTCTCGGTAAATTTAAAACTCCCCGTTTCTTGGACTGCGCGGACTGCGCAGACGCGTATCTATCAACTCCTGCGCCGGCGATGATGGACTGCCGATCGAACGCAACGCCTCCTGCTGATTTTTATGTTTATCGCTGGCTTGAACCCCCCGTGATTGTTTTCCGCCTTCTTTCTTTCTTTCGAAACGCGCACCTACTCACGATGATCCCCTTCCGACAGGCGACTTGGACCCGTGTCTCCCCGTGGACTTGGACTGTGCTGGCAGAGGATGGCTTAAATCTCGGAGTAATCTCAGGCGATGACGCGCTGCATGGGCCTACGCCTTCGTCTGGATTCGTCTTCTGTTCTCTCGTCTTCTATTCTCGCTTCCGTTCCCCCTTTCCCCTCGCCTGCCTTCCATCAAACGTCTCCCTCGGAAAGCCGGTGTCGCTGATTCGACGCACAGAAAAATTCACGCGAGCTCTTGCAATCAATATTGCATCATGGCGCGCAGAGGATCGGGAGCACCGGCGCGGACTCGGGCTCGGAGCCGCAGGTACATGGAGCAGAATGCGATATCAAGCTCACGGCGACTCCGAAGCTGTCTCGGCCACAAGAGAGAAGCAGCTGCAGAAGCCCGAGCGGTGCCAATTGCAACTTTCGTTGCGCGGGGTTTTTGGGCTGCGTGCGTTGGTTTAGATCGCTAGAACATACACACGTAACGCTGACCGAGCTCAGATTTTCTTCTACACCTAAGTACATGGTCCGGGTCCGGCGAATACGGTACAGTCCGTACCAAAATCGATAATTCAGATGCCTATCTGATATCACCCCAAAGAAGTATTGAATGCGTCATGCGGGCTGGGTTTTTCGTATACACGCTGACCGAGCGCAGATTTTCTTCCAAATTCCAAGTCCATGGACCGGGGCCGGCGAGTACGGGACGGTGCGTACCAAAATCAAATAAAAACAGCGATAAGTATCTGAATCAGTTATCACCGCACAGAAGCATGTATGAAGGCGTCATGCGGCTGCGGACTGGATTCTTTGCGCCTCCTATCAAAGATGGTTTCGAAACGTCGAACAGTCCTTGAACACGAAAGGACACAATAGAATGAATACTGTGCGTCCCGAGTCCCGGGGTGTCCCGCCGAGGATACGCCCGATTCGATGACCATCGTGATCCATGGACGTTCGAGGCGTGCTGGGAAGGGGCTTTTTTTTGAAAGAGCGTTGGCAGTGCATGGGCCACCGTATGGCCTCTTGACTCCGGATCAAGGACACGTTCGGGATTCCAAGTTTGATTTGTCTTTTTTCTTTTTTTGAAAAAATTGCTTATGTACGCTCCCTTGCAGACTTTCCGTATGTGCGCGTGCGCTCCATGTTCAAGCGGCTCACCTTTGCCGCTTTTTCTGTGAACTAATTTTTGCTTCCGCAAATTCCGCAAATTCCGCTTCCGTGCCGAATGTACTGGCAGCGCTCCGGCGCGTACTAGTCTTCACTTCCTCACTCAGCACCTGGCAGCACCGCGTCTATAATAACAACAACAACAATAATACAGGACAGAACAGTACCGCGCGCCCCGACGCCGGCCTCTGTAGCAGTCAGCACTGCGTCTATTTCTATTTATTTCAAGTGCAATCAATCCCTCTCTCAGGGATAATCCTAACTCGAACTCGAACTCGAACTCGAAATCCCAAATGGAAAACAAGGTCAAGGCCCGGGCGTCGCCATACTTTGCTTTGCTTTGCTTGACTCGCCACTGGCACTGGCACTGGGAGCACCCCCGGCGCTCGTCTCTGTCTCAGTGTCTGGGTAGATCCGAGTCTCTGGGCTCAAGTCGTCGACGTCCTCTCCGCCCCGCCGGGTCCGACGCCAGCGCCAGCCTCAGCCTCAGCCTCAGCCTCAGGCCGCGCTCGTCCTCGTCCTCGTCCCAGCTATTCTACTTGTGCTATGTACGAGGAGTCAGTCCTATGTATATTCCAGGTCACTGAAATGGACTTTCAGAATCAGCACTTGTAAGTAGGAAGAAAGGAAGGAAGAAAGAACGGTGCGCACTTGCGCTTAGTTGCTTTGAAAAGAATGTTACCGTAATCGCGGGCTGCATGCAGGACATGGCGACATGCGCTCCTCGATGCATACAGCCATCTACTAATCGATCGCGGGCCGTGTATCTGAAAAGAGTCACGGCGAATCCTTCCTCGACGCCCGCTGTGTCTCAAGCTCGGGTAGGCTGGGCTGGGCTGCTGCCAGTGATACCTCCCCACAAGTTCGCCCTCCGTGCTCCGTCCTCTGCCCTTTAATGTCGACCCCGCCCGCCCACGCCCACCACCTATACCTATATTTATTTATCTACTAAGTATAATTACCAGCGGCGCAGTCTTCAAGCTCCCATGGCCCGTATATATATATAAATCAGAGGTAGGGCGCTATGTTTAACCTGCGCATGCGGCTTGAACGTAAATATAATGGCACTCGTCCGTCCTGCGGGTCGTTTACGCTGTGGGGGGCATATGCATGGGGTCGGGATGTGCTTATTACATGTAGTACGAATTTGCCGTCGTCGGAGTCGTCGGAGTCGGAGTCGAGAGGTATATGTATGCATGCAAGGATATCTGGCTGTAGAGGCCGGACGGTACTGTATACCAGTAGTAACATTAATTATCATTCAAGTGTAGGCCGTTGTGAATGGGTAAGTGAAACGTGCTCAAGTCGTTCGCACGAGAGGGTGAGTTTGATTTTGACTTTGGATTATTTTGGATTATTTTGGACTCGGAAGTTCTGGTTTTGGTTCTGATTCTGATTCGTACGAGGGGTGGAGGAGCGGTGGGTATATATAGGACATCCAGGGGCGGAGCATGGAATAGATAGCTGTTACTGGCTATGGACGAGTTGAGGCGAGTATGGGTGCGGGATGGCAGGAGGGGCGGACGACTTTTGATCTAGTCAGACAGAGAGCTCGAGGAGAGCAAGAGCGAGAGGACAGGACAAGAGGGCGGGCTGCCAGTGCCAGTGCCAGTGGTGAGTAAAGTAAAGTAAAGTAAGACGCCGCACGAGGCCGCGTGGGACCTGACCCAAGTTTCGAGAAGTTCAATAAGTTGGATTTAGATTTGTCGATTGTTGTTAATTAGGACTGCGGGAGGGAGGGCCCTGCGAATGGATATATATGTAGAAATAGACGGCCATGGCCGCGGCGAAGAGAGTAGGTTGGTGAATGAATATACATAGATAGACGACTGAGGGAGGAGGGATGCGGAGCCGTGAATAGCTGTAGCAGGCCTAAGATAGGATAGGATAGTGATCTGATATCATGGGCTGTGTATGACTCGGAGGCTGATGTCGAGATGTTGAGATGCGGAGGGGGGGAGGGAGAGCGGCGAGCAAATTTGATTTTGTGGGCGAGAACGAATTTGGATTTGGGCCTGCGCGTTCGTAAATAGCTGCACTACATGGTG